GACCGCCTGTTAGCGTGACGCGCCCTCTGCTGGTCGGTCCCTGCCACGTCAGGCTCCCCAAAGAATCTCAGACGAACCCCTGCCTATCAGATCCCTCCATCCCTCCTCCAATGGTCTCCCTCCTCTCTCTCCTCCCTTCCTCTGCTCCAGCCACTCTGACCACCTCTGGTCGGGCGCGGTGGCTCTCGCCTGTAATCCCAGCACTTTGGGAGGCCGAGGACAGATCACTTGAGGTCAGGAGTTTGAAACAAACCTGGGCAACATAGCAAGATCCTGTCTCCACGAAAAAATTAAAAAATTAGCCGGGCGTGGTGATCGTGGTCCTAACTATTCAGGAGGCTGAGGTGGAAGGCTCACCTGAGCCCAGGAGGTTGAAGATTACAGTCAGCCATGATTGTGCCACTGCATTCCGGCCTGGGTGACAGAGTGAGACCCCACCCTAACCCCCCTCCTCCCCCCAGAAAAGGCCAGGCATGGTAGTTTACACCTGTAATCCCAGCACTTTGGGAAGCCAAGGCAGGAAGATCGCCTGAGCCCAAAAGTTTAAAACCAGCTTGGACAACATAGTGAGAACTCATCTCTAAATTAGCCGGGCATGGTGGCGCATGCCTGTAGTCCTAGCTCTTCAGGAGGCTGAGGTAGGAGGATCACCTGAGCCCAGAAGATGGAAGCTACAGTGAACCATGATTGAGCCACTGCAGTCCAGCCTGGGTGAAAGGGAAAGGACTTGTCTAAAAAAAAAGAAAAAGAAAAAGAAACAAACAAAAAAAACGGTCGGGTGTGGTGGCACACGCCTGTAATCCCAGCTACTCAGGAGGCTGAGGCAGGAGAATCGCTTGAACCTGGGAAGCGGAGGTCACAGTGAACCACAATCACGACACTGCATTCCAGTGTGGGCAACAGAGCAAGACCCTGTCTCAAAAACAAAAACAAACAAACAAACAAAAACAAGCAAACAAACAAAAACCCTGACCATCTCACTATTCCTTGAACACACTGTGAAGTTCCCGCATCAGTGGGATATGTAATCCAGTGAAATATGTGTCAGTGGGATATGCACATGAAGGGATTTGCATATTCCGTGCCCTCTGCCTGGGGTGCCCTCCCCAGCCTCCTCCATCTGGCATCCTCACCATTCAGATCTCAACACTCGTCACCTCTGCCAGGCAGCCCACCCTACGTTGCCTGACTAGGTCACGTCTCCTCTTTATGAGCTCACAAAGCAGCCATCAGACCAGGTGTGGTGGCTCCCACATGTGATCCCAGCTCTTTAGGAGGCTGAGGTCTGAGGATCACCTGAGGCCAAGAGTTTGAGACCAGCCTGGGCAACACAGCAAGATCCCCATCTTTACTTAAAGAAAAAAAAAAAAAAAAAAAGAAGGCCAGGCACTGTAGCTTATGCCTGTAATCCTAGCACTTTGGGAGGCTGAGACAAGTGGATTGCTTGAGGTCAGGCATTCGAGACCAGCCTAGCCAACATGGTGAAACCTGTCTCTACTAAAAACACAAAAATTAGCCAGGCATGGTGGCACACACCTATAGCCCCAGCTACTAGGGAGGCTGAGGCAGGAGAGTCGCTTGAACCCGGGAGGCAGAAGTTGCAGTGAGCCGAGATCGTGCCACTGCACTCTACCCTGGGCAACGCAAAGACTCCATCTCAAAAAAAAATGCAGCCATCAGACCTCACTGTAATGACCTCTTGTCTCTTCTTTTTGTTGTTGTTTTGAGGTGGAGTCTCGCTCTGTCGCCCAGGCTGGAGTGCAGTGGCGCAATCTCCACTCACTGCAACCTCTGCCTCCCGGGTTCAAGAGATTCTCTTTTCTCACCCTCCTGAGTAGCTGGGACCACAGATATGCTCCACCATGCTCAGCTAATTTTTGTATTTTTTGTAGAGATGGGGTTTCACCATGTTGGCCAGGCTGGTCTCAAACTCCAGGCCTCAAGTGATCTGCCCATCCTGGGTTCCCAAAGTGTTGGGGTTACAGGCGTGAGCCACCATGCCTGGTCTCTTGTCGCTTCTTTAATGTGAACAGGTACCAAGCCTGTTGCTCCCCTCTGTGACCCCAACACCCTGCCTGCTCCACAGGAGGCCCTCAGCAAACTCAGATTTGGAGTCAAACAGACCTGTGTTCAAACCCCAAAGCTGGGGGAACTCCAGGAAGTAACAACTCCTGTAAGCCTCAGTTTTCTCATCTGCAAAACTGGAAGAAAATAGCCACGACATTGTGCTGTGGTGAAGATTCAATAAAATGGTGTGTACGATGCTGGATGCAGGAATCTGATGAATATTCATGGAGTGAGTGAATGAATGAATGAATAAAGATTCAGCTTGTAGAGGGAGAAAGTCCTCTAGGTTTTGCCAGTCAGATTTTTGTTTGTTTATTTGTTTGTTTTGAAATGGAGTCGGAGTCTCCCTCTGTCGCCCAGGTTGGAGTGCAGCGGCACGATCTTGGCTTCCTGCAACTTCCGCTTCCTGGGTTCAAGCAATTCTCCTGAGTCAGCCTCCCAAGTAGCTGGGACTATAGGCGCGTGCCACTACACCCAGCTCATTTTTTGTATCTTTAATAGAGACAGGGTTTCACCATGTTAGCCAGGATGGTCTCGATCTTCTGACCTTGTGATCCGCCCGCCTATGGCCTCCCAAAGTGCTGGGATTATCGGCATGAACCATTACGCCCGGCCTTGCTAGTCATTTTTAAGATACAAAAGGTTGTCCTGGTGTGGTGGCTCACACCTATAATCTCAGCACTTTGGGGAGCTGAGGTAGGAGGATCGCTTGAGTCCACGAGTTCAAGGCCAGCCTGGGCAACAGAGGGAGACACCATTTCTATAAAAAATAAGAAATTAGCTAGACATGGGACATGGTAGTGCGTGCCTGCGGTCCCAACTACTCGAGGGACCAAGGCAGGAGAATCCCTTGAGGCTAAGAGTTTGAGGCTGCAGTGAGCCATGAATGCGGCATTACACTACAGCCTGGGCAACAGCATGAGACCCTATCTCAAAAATCATTAATTAATTAATTAATAATTGAACTAATTACAATTTTTTTTAAAGATGCAAGAGGCAAGGTTGGGCACTGCGCCATGTGCATGTAATCCCAGTGCTTTGGGAGGCCAAGGTGGGAGGATTGCTAGAGCCCAGGAGTTCAAGACTGCAGTAAACCATCACTGCAGTCGAGCCTAGGACACATAGCAAAACCCTATCTTAAAAAAAAAAAAGATAGCAGAGGCAAAATGTCCAGACTAATCTTACATTTTTCATCCATTGAGGTACAGAGTAAAAAATAAATTAACTTAATTTTTTTTAAAAAAAGGGTTGGTGTGGGCCAGGTGCGGTGGCTCACGCCTGTAATCCCAGTACTTTGGGAGGCCAAGGCGGGTGGATCACGAGGTCAGGAGATCGAGACCATCCTGGCTAACATGGTGAAACCCTATCTCTACTAAAAATACAAAAAAATTAGCCAGGTGTGGTGGTGAGCGCCTGTAGTCCCAGCTACACGGGAGGCTGAGGCAGGAGAATGGCATGAACCCAGGAGGCGGAGCTTGCAGTGAGCCGTGATCGCACCACTGCACTCCAGCCTGGGGGACAGAACGAGATTAATCCCAAAAAAAAAAAAAAATTGGCAGGCCCGGTGGCTCACACCTGTAATCCCAGCACTTTGGAAGGCAGAGGTGGGTGGATCACAAAGTCAGGAGATCGAGACTATCCTGGCTAACACGGTGAAACCCCGTCTCTACTAAAAATACAAAAAATTAGCCGGGCATGGTGGCGGGTGCCTGTAGTCCCAGCTACTCGGGAGTCTGAGGCAGGAGAATGGTGTGGACCCGGGAGGCGGAGCTTGCAGTGAGCCGAGATCGCGCCACTGCACTCCAGTCTGGGCGACAGAGCGAGATTCCATCTCAAAAAATAATAATAAATAAAAGGGTGGGTGTGGTGGCTCACGCCTGTAACCCCAGCATTTTGGGAGGCCAAGATGGGCAGATCTTGTGAGGCCAGGAGCTTGAGGCCAGCCTGGGCAACATGACAAAAATCCCATCTAAAAATACAAAAGTTAGCCAGGTATGGTAGGGTACACCTATGATCCCAGCAGCTTGGGAGGCTGAGGCACGAGAATGGTTTGAGGCCAGGAGGCAGCGGTTGCAGTGAGCCAAGATCGCGCTACTGCACTCTAGTTGCCCAGGCAACAGAGCGAGACTCTGTCTCTCTCTCTCTCTCTCACACACACACACACACACACACACACACAGAGGAAAAAATGAAATAAAGAAAAGAAAGACTAAAGACTAAAAAAGGAATGAGCCAGGCACAGTGGCTCACACCTGTAATCCCAGCACTTTGGGAGGTCAAGACTGCAGGATGGCTTAAGTCCAGGAGCTCAAGACCAGCCTGGACAACCTAGTGAGACCCCTATCTCCATAATTTTGTTTTTTAAAAAAGAAATAACAATTTGTAGAACAATGAACACAACACCATTTATATATAAATCACAAGACAAACATATTTGAAAGATACATCCACAAGTATGTAAACATTCAAAGTTCTGGAAAGACGCACATTAAGCCATGACAACTGGAGAAGGGCTAAGGAAATTTTTCATGTTGAAACACTTCTGGGGCCAGTCGTGGTAGCTCACGCCTGTGATCCCAGTACGTTGGGAGGCCGAGGTGGGCAGATGACCTGAGGTCAAGGAGTTCAAGACCAGCCTGGTCAACATGATGAAACCTCGTCTCTACTAAAAACTCAAAAATTAGCCGGCCGTGGTGGCCCGCACCTGTAGTCCCAGCTACTCAGGAGGCTGAGGCAGGAGAATCACTTGAACCTGGGAGGCAGAGGTTGCAGTAAGCCGAGGTCGCACCACTGCACTTCAGCCTGGACGACAGAGTGAGTCTCTGTCTCAAAAAAACAAACAAACAAAATAAAAATAAACAACAACAACAACACCAAAAACAAAAACTAGCCAGGCATGCTGGCACATGCCTGTAATACCAGCTACTCAGGAAGCTGAGGCAGGAGAATCAATTGAGTCCAGCAGGTGGAGGTTGCGGTGAGATGCACCACTGCGCGCCAGGAAGGAAGGAAGGAAGGAAGGAAGGAAGGAAGGAAGGAAGGAAGGAAGGAAGGAAGGAAGGGAGGGAGGGAGGGAGGGAGGGAGGGAGGGAGGGAGGGAGGGAAACACTTCAGCACCTGAGTTTTTTTTTTACATTCCTTTGGTATTTGCAAAATAAATTAAAAACCATGAAACAAATATCCGGAGATCCTCCTGTCTCCATCCCAACACGGATGCCCCAGCATCCAGGGTCCAACGGACCTCCATTCAGCCCCATTTCAGGGCCTGAATCTCCAGGGAGTCCCTGCAGGGCACTCACTACCTCTCAGCTGTGTTGCTTCATTGTTTGAGAATCAAGTTCTTTCCCAGGTGAAAGAGAATCCCGATTGGCCTAAACTGTTTCCAGATCCCCTGGGTCTCCTGGGTCTCCACGCAACTTGGGTGCGACTTCCCTGGATCCCGTCACTTGCCCACGCAGAAGTCCCGGAAGATGATGTCCAGGATCTCCTCGGTACCCCCTCCACCTGTGAGCCGGGTCAGGTGACCCCGGGCCACCCGCAGCGCCTCTGCCGCCAGGGCCAGGTCTTTTGACGGCTTGTAGTGACTGAGGGCATCCAGGCAACCCTGGAGGTGGTGCTGGTGCCTTGCGCGGGTCAGGAGCGGGGAACCGGTGGACGGGTCCCCACACCTGGAAGAGACAAGAGACATGGTCCCTCCTAACCTTTTACCACCATCCCTTGAAGGGGAAATGGTTGTACCCATTTTGTAGGTACAGAAATTGAAGTTGAGGGACAGGCACGCGCCCAAAGCCAGTGGGCCAGCCCACACTTGAACTGTGGATCAGGGGAGGCTGGGAGTGGGAGGGGGGCTCACACTGCAGCTAGCTCCTTCCTCAGCGCCTCCAGGAGGCCGTCCAGACCCTCTCCCGTCAGACAGGACAGCAACAGGTGCGGGGGCAGGTCAGGACGCGGACCTGGGCCCTCTGGGGACAGCAGGTCCGACTTGTTCAGCACCAGGAGGAGGCGCTGGCTGCTGTCACTGGGGCTCTGGGCTCCCACAGAGGCTACGACGGTGGCCAGGAAGTTGCAACTGGAGGGAGAGGCCAGGTCAGAGGCGTCCAGCATGGCCAGAATGAGGTCCGCCTGCTCCAGCCTGGGGGAGCAAGGTCAACTGAGCGGGAGTCCAGTTGAGCAACTGAAGAAGGCACTGGGTAGAGGGACAGTGAGAAGGGCCAGGCAGAGCACGGAGGGAGCTGTAAAGCTTGAGGTGGGGAGGGTAGTAGAGTACCAGGGGACTGGCAGAATGTTGGGGGTCCAAGCCGAGCACAGAGGGTGGGACAGAGCAAGAGGGGCGGGGCACAGTGCAAGGGGCAGGGCAGAGCAAGAGGAGCGGGACACGGTGCAGGGGGCGGGGTAGAGCAAGGGCTGGGACAGAGCAGGAGGGGTGGGACACAGTGCAGGGGGCAGGGCAGAGCAAGAGGAGCGGGGCACGGTGCAGGAGGGGTGGGGCACAGCACAGGGGGTAAGGGCAGAGCAAGAAGGGTGGGACACAGTGCAGGGGGCTGGGCAGAGCAGGAGGGGCTGGGTACACTGCAGGGGGTGGAGCAGAGCAAGAGGGGCGGGGCACAGCACAGGGGGCGGGGCAGAGCAAGAGAGGCGGAGCACAGTGCAGAGGGAAGAGCAGAGCAAGAGGTGCAGGGCACAGCACAGGGGTTGGGGCTGAGCAAAAGGGGCCGGGTATAGCACTGGAGTGGGGCGACCATGAGTGGCGGGGCAGAGCAAGAAGGGCCAAACACACCACAGGGGACGAGGTAGAGCACGAGGGGCGGGGCAGAATGTAGGGGGTGGGCAGAGCACAGGGTATGGGGTAGACCACCAGGGGCAGAGCAGAGCGCCAGGGCGGGACAGAGCACGAGGGGGCGGGGCAGAACGTGAGGGCTGGGTGGAGCGCTTAGGGATGAGAAACATGTCCGCAGGGCCGGGGGCAGGATTTAATCAGAACCAAATTACTGGCCGGGCACAGTGGCTAACGCCTGTAATCCCAGCACTTTGGGAGGCCAAGGCAGGTGGGTCACCTGAGGTCAGGAGTTCGAGACCAGCCTGGCTAACATGGTGAAACCCCGTCTCTGCTAAATATACAAAAAATTAGCCTGGCATTGTGGTGGGAGCCTCTAATCCTAGCTACTCGGGAGGCCGAGGCAGAAGAATCGCTTGAATCCGGGAGGCGGAGGTTGCAGTGAGCCGAGATCGTACCACTGCACACTCCAGCCTGGGCAACAAAAGCGAAACTCCGTCTCAAAAAACAACAACAACAACAACAAAAAAAACAGGCCAGGTGCGGTGGCTTATGCCTGTAATCCCAACACTTTGGGAGGCCAAGGCAGGTGGGTCACCTGAAGCTCAGGAGTTAGAGACCAACTTGGCCAACATAGTGAAACCCCATCTCTACTAAAAATACAAAAAAACAGCTGGGCGTGGTCGCTCCCGCCTGTAATCCCAGCTACTTGACAGGCTGGAGAATTGCTTGAACCCGGAAGACAGAGCTTGCAGTGAGCTGAGATCGCGCCACTGCACTCCAGCCTGGGCAACAGAGCAAGACTCGGTCTCGGGAAAAAAAAAAAAAAAAAAAAGAACCAAATCACTGAGATCCCTGTTTGAAAGGGCATAGCAGGTTCTCTGAGATTCAGGAAGAATGAAAAATAAACGCAACAGGGAGAAAAGGCAGAGAAAGGGCCCCGCGTTCCCCTCCCATCACCACCCTGTCCGCCCACCTCTCCCGGGCGCGCCGAACGCCCTCCTGCTCCACCGGCCCCACGCCCTCCCGCAACCCAGCCGTGTCGCTCAGCAGCACAGGAAATCCGGCCAGGTCGACGGGGGTCTCCAGGACGTCACGGGTGGTCCCTGGCTCGGGGGACACGATGGACACAGGTTTCCGACCTGGGGGAGGGTCAAAAGAAGAGGAGAGGGTGGAGACAAGGGAGCTCCTTCCCCACGTTCTACCCCGTGTCTGGAGGGCGCTTTAGACCAGAACAATTCAATTACCCAGCTCCTGACCCCGCCCCTGGCACTAGGCCCCGCCCCTCCCCCCTCCCACTCACTGAGTAGGTTCACTAGGCTGCTCTTGCCGGCATTGGGGGGTCCAGTGACCACTACGTGTGCCCCTGAGCGGAGTCTCTGCCCGCGCCTGGCATCTCGTAGATGTGCACCCAGGGCCACCTCCAGTGCTCGTACTTCGATGTCCGCTGTGGGTGAGAGAAGGCAGGCAAAGAGAGACAGTGAGGGGAGCCTTTGAGGGCTGATAGAGGTGTCTTCCTCCCCCACCACTAGGTAGACCCACCTTGCTCCAGGACCCCCTCCTCCAGGTTGTCATCCTCGCCAAAATCGATATAGGCCTCCACGTGGGCCAAAGCCTGACGGGACAGGGAGACCAGAGGTGGTGTGTGCACCCAGAAACCCACCTTCCCACACCCAATTTATCCAGCCCGACTTCAGGGGCCAGATTGGCGGCTCATAGGCCGGAAGATTTCACGCAGGGAATGGATGAGGGATTGAGGGGGGGTCTCATGCAAGGGTTGCACAGATGGGGTCTCTGAGACAGAGAATGGACAAATGGGGAACTTGCTTTGGTGAGGGTCTCGGCCCAGCCACGGCAGAGGTGGCCCAGCTCCCCGTCCAGCTGCCTGAGGGCCTGCCGCCGCTGCGCCTCGGTTTCTGCGTGGATAAGGTCCGCCAGCCCCTCCACTTCGGTCAGGTTCAGCTTCCCATTGGCAAACGCCCGCCTGGTGAACTCGCCTGCCTCCGCAGGTTGAAGCCCTGGCACGCTGCCTGCAGGAAGGTTCCAGTCTGACGTCCCCTGGTCCCCACCCAGGCCTATCGGGAGGACCAAGCATCTCACCCAAGGCTGCAACTCACCCAAGGCCTGCAGGACGCCGCTCACCACTGCCGGGCCTCCGTGCACGTGGAATTCCACGCAGTCCTCACCGGTGAAACTCCGGGGACCTAATGTGGCAGCGAGCTGACAGTCAGGAGGACAGCACAGCCAGTGCAAACTCTTAGAAGGGGGAAACTGAGTCATGGGGCCTACAGGAGGCTCGGGACCTGGGGACCCTCACCTGGGAACCAGAGGACCAGTGCGCGGTCCAGAGGCTCCCCGGAGCGGGGGTCGCTGAGGAGGCGCAGGCTGGCGTGGCGAGCAGGGGGCAGGTCTCTGGCTGCCGTGAGAATCCGGAGGGCGTCGCCACTGGAGGGGCCGCTGGTCCGGATCACCGCGATGCCGCAGCGGCCTTGGCCAGAGCTTAGCGCGAAGATGGTGGTGCCGGAGCCGGGGGCTGGTGCGCCGCTGCTCCGGCGCGTGCACAGTCTGGAACCGGAGGGGAGGCCAATCAGCGCATCTGGGAGGCTCACTCTCAGTGTCAAGTAAACCAAGGGCTGGATGATCACGAGATGCCCCAGGTGCGGTGGGGTCTGCGGCTGGGGGATGCACAAATTGGGTGTTCTGAAGGCCGAAGGGTGACCGGATTAGGGACTGTGAGGCCAGAAGGAGACCCAGATGTGGGCTCTGCGGAAGGGGAATGGACGATTTAGGCACGGAAGAACGCGAATGATTGCTCTGCCGCAGGGAATTGGGCCACTAAAACCCTGGGAGTGGGTCTGAGGTCCAAGTAGCACCCCAAGCTGTCACACCCCTTCCCTTGTAGCCCCACCTGCGAGGCCCACGTGCCGCTTGGGCCGCCAGCGTCCAAAGCCCCCGCCACATGGATTTACAACCTGCGACCCCACTGCCAGGCCTGCCTGTGTGGCTTCAAGTCTGGGCAGGAGGCCCCGCCCACTCCGTGGCGTGGCTAGTAAAGTGCTCAACTATTCTCGACCATCATTGGGTACCTTAGGATACGTCCCGCCCACCGTCTGAAGATCTTCGCTTCCATTGGCTGGTGCAAGGTAGAGAGGGAGGCGGGGGCTCTATGGAGGTGGGTGTAGCGAAATGTTGTTCCCCGGGCAACATGAGACCGAATTTTTAGGGTCCTAGCGCAGCGAGACTGACAATAGGAATAAGGAATGGAAGAAAGGACAGAGCGAGCTTGGCACAGGGCAGTGCAAATTACAGCGAGGGGAGGTTTTGAGTGCCGCATTTTCCATCTGATCACTCCGCAGCCTTAGGCGTGGCAAGGACCGATGTGCGCTCAGTTTTTCAGTTCAAGAAAGGAGGGACTACACCTCTTTACGTTCAGGTTCAGACTGGAAACGCAGAGCATCTCAGTGAGCGGGAGGGATTAGTACTGGAGAACCCACGCCCTGGCCCAGGGAAAATCTTGCCCAAACTTCTGGAAAGAGTCCTACTTGCTTTTACCGGAACTCTCCAGATTCTCTCCCCTCCCTAGCGTTCCCTCCTGCCGTTCCCTTGGCTTCGGATGCCCTTCCTCATTTGACAAACTCATTCTCAAGGCCTAGCTCCAAGATCCCCTTCTCCGGGAAGTCTTGCTGGAACCCCCAGCACAGCCCTCTCTCCACTGTGGACTTCCTTGGCTCTCTCTCTCTCTCTCTTTGGCCCAGGTCTGCACCTGCAGAGACAAGTGTCCGGTCAGTCTCTGCCTCCCCGAAAGCCAGAAAGGGGAGCATCGGAGATTGCTTTCAGGTTAACCCAGGACAGCACTGAACCTCAGAATAAAGCGCTGATGGTGGAATTCCAGGCACTGGCTGGGCGGGGTCTCCGGGAGCGCCTTCCCACGGCCGATTCTCTGGTTCTGGATCAGAGCGGGCGGGCGGCGCACTTGCGTGTTAAGAAAAATCTGTCGGACAGAATAGAGTTCTAATACCCCCTTACCTCACCCTGCTCAATATTTTTATTTACTTTATTATTTTATTTTATTTTATTTTATTTTTGAGACAAGGTCTCACTCTGTCGCCCAGGCTGGAGTGCAGTGGCGCGATCGCTGCTCTTGCAACCTCCAAATTTTGGGCTCGAGGAATCCGCCCGCCTCAGCCTCCTGAGTAGCTGGGACGACAGGCACAAGCCACCACGCCCGGCTAATTTTTTAAGTGTGTGTGTGTGTGTTTGTTTTTTTTGTTTTGTTTTGTTTTTTTTTTTTTTTTTTTTGCAGACACGGGGATCTCACTATGTTGCCCTGGCTTTGTTTTTTGTTTTTGTTTGTTTGTTTGTTTTTGTTTTTTGTTTTTTGTTTTGAGATGGAGTCTCGCTCTGTCGCCCAGGCTGGAGTATAGCGGCACGATCTCGACTCACTGCAACCTCCGTCTCCCAGGTTGAAGCGATTCTCCTGCCTCAGCCTCCCGAGTAGCTGGGATTACAGGTGCACCCCGCCCCGCTAACATTTTTTTTGGGGGGTGGGGGACGGAGTCTCGCTCTATCGCCCAGGTTGGAGGGCAGTGGTGAGTTCTCGACTCACTGCAAGCTCCGCCTCCCGGGTTCACGCCGTTCTCCTGCCTCAGCCTCCCGAGTAGCTGGGACTACAGGCACCCGCCACCACACCCGGCTAATTTTTTGTGTTTTTAGTAGAGACAGGGTTTCACCGTGTTAGCCAGGATGGTCTCGATCTCCTGACCTCGTGATCCACCCGCCTCGGCCTCCCAAAGTGCTGAGAGTACAGGCATCAGCCATCGCGTCCGGCACCTTTATTCTTTTCTCTGAAATTTACATTTAACTAGGCGGACTGTATTTTTATTCGCTAAACTTGACAACTCTATGGGATCCTCTCCGAGGTTACATCCTGAAGGGAGTCGGTGTTAACCGGATGAAGAGTGTATGAGGAGTGTTCTAGGCAGCTAAATGGTGCTAAAGTTCCTAAGCAGGTCTTGCTGTAATTATCTATCACAGCCCTACTAGGGTGGTTGAAATTATTGTCATCAGGAATCTTCCCCAACCAGGCCCGCCCCTCCCACGTCCTCCCTTAGTCAAATTACGCCCATCTCACATTCCAAACCGGGTCTCCAGGGTCTGGAGTTTGCAAATGGGGAAACTGAGGCTCCGAGGCGGGGACCAGAAGAAAGCGTGGGTGGGGACAAGTTGGAGAATGCACCATCAGTGCGGGCGGGGACCAGCAGCAGAGAGCGAGGTGGGCGGGCGAGAAGGAAACCCAGAAAACAACACGGGCGGAGACGCGAACCAAAGAACTAGGCGGGCGAACTCAGCTGAGAACCCGAGAGTGACGTGCACCAGGCCGGGAAGGAGAATCGAGGTTCGGCTCGGGCGGGGACGAGAAGCAGCGCTCGGGCGAGCGAGGACGGCGGCCGGCGCGGGCGGGCGCGGCCTTTGTCTCCTCCTCCCGCGCGCACGGCGGCGGCACCGGCCCCATGAGCCCGCGGCCCCCCGGCGCCCGGGCCTTCCGTAGCCCCTGACCTGACCTGTCCTCGCCATGGCCGAGGCCGCCTCCGGCGCCGGGGGCACGTCCCTGGAGGGCGAGCGTGGCAAGAGGCCCCCGCCGGAGGGCGAGCCTGCAGCCCCGGCGTCCGGAGTTCTGGGTATGTGTGCGGCGGCTGGACCAGACTGGGTTGCAGGTGCCTGGGGAGCCCGCGTCAACTGCACGGGGAGGAGGATCGGGGTCAAACGTAACCTGGCGTGGTGTCTGGACTAGGGGCCGGCTCCTCCCGGCACTGCGGTTGCGGCCCGGCGGGCGGGGCTGGGACGGTGCTTCGGGCTGGGGTCTCAGCGCGGAGACCAGGACACGCCCCTCCGAGAGCCCCAGGCTTGGGCTGAGCCCTGCCACCCCCGGGCTGCTGGATCTCGGCGGGCCAGGGATGCGCTTGAGAGAGCCTCTCCGCGAAGAATACAGAATCATACGGTCCTGGGTTCAAATCCCAGCTCGACTGTGTGACCTTGGGCGCGTGACTTAAACGCTCTGGGCCTCAGTTTCCTCACCTGTGAAATGGGGGTAAGAACCGCACCCAGTTCCTGGGGCTGCTGCAAGGACGGCGCTGTCATAATGTGGTGAAGCGCTCAGGGCGGCTAGTGAGCGCCCCATAGATTGTGGTTTTGGAGGCGGAGCTGGGCCTCAAGAATGAGTAAGATTTGTAAGGGAGGATCTGGGGGGATGGGCATTTCTGGAAGAAGGCTGGCTGGTGCAAGGACGTGGAGGGAGGAAAATAAGCCAAGCCCAGAGCTCCTGGGGCCTTGAATGCCAGGTGGAGTGGTGAGGAGCCCTGGCGGGGGCCGGAGGGGCCAAGACTGGAGGCTGGGTTCGGAACCTAGAGTGGCCTGACCTGGGCCTGCTACGCTGCCCCCCAGATAAGCTTTTCGGGAAGCGGCTCCTGCAAGCGGGTCGCTACCTGGTATCCCACAAGGCGTGGATGAAGACAGTGCCTACAGAGAACTGCGACGTGCTGATGACCTTCCCAGGTACCCACGCCTGCCCGCCCGCCCAGTGCCCAGATGCGGCTCTCCTGAGCTCGGCTTCCCAGAGCGGGAATATGTAGGAGGCCTTGGGCCCCCTCGTGGCAAGAGCCATCGGTCCCTGTGCCCCTTGGCAGACACAACCGATGACCACACGCTGCTATGGCTGCTGAACCACATCCGCGTGGGCATCCCCGAGCTCATCGTGCAAGTCCGCCACCACCGCCACACGCGTGCCTACGCCTTCTTTGTCACCGCCACGTATGAGAGGCGAGTCCCCTGTCCCTGGCCTCTCGCTGAGCCTGCCACCTGGCTCCCCGCTCTACCAAGTGCCAACCATGCTATCCAGCTGCCCTGCGTTTGTCCCAAAGGCTTCCAGGTGCACCATCCTCAGCTCCAGGATGGTGGGCCTGGGCCTCCCTGTGAGCCCACCTCCTCCGCCTTGTTCACAGCCTACTCCGAGGGGCCGACGAGCTGGGTCTGCGCAAGGCAGTGAAGGCCGAGTTTGGCGGGGGCACCCGCGGCTTCTCCTGCGAGGAGGACTTTATCTATGAGAATGTGGAGAGCGAGCTGCGCTTCTTCACTTCCCAGGTGAGGCCGGCTCTGGGCCCCCGCATGCATCCTGTGCCTATGAGTTCCCTGAGCTCACGCCCTCTTCCTCGCAGGAACGCCAGAGCATCATCCGCTTCTGGCTGCAGAATTTGCGTGCCAAGCAGGGAGAGGCGCTCCACAACGTGCGCTTCCTGGAGGACCAGCCAATCAGTGAGCAGGGCGGGGCCAACACCAATCACAGGCAGAGAGTTGGGTGGAGCTCTTCAAAGACAGCTTATCGGAGCAGGAGGGCGGGGACTAATCCAACCAGTCAGGGGTTGGCAAAGAATGAGGTACCCAATAAGTTAAAGGGGCGTGGCCTTAGCAAAAGGGTGGTGCTTATCTCCTGAGTTGGGTGGAGCTCCGAGAGGACAGCTTATCATGGCAGGAGGGCGGGGCTTATGTCCAACCAGTTAGGGGTTGGCAAAGAGTTGGGAAACCAAGGAGCTGAGGGGGCGTGGCTTTAGTCAAAGTATGGGGCTTATTTCCGGGACTGGGGTCCAGGGAGGCCCTTTCTGGGTCTGGGATAAGGTGGAGGCGGGGACCATGGACAGCACTCCACCTATAGAGTGGTATGACTCTGGGCGTTGGACTCCCCTCCAGGAAACTAGCCACCCAAATTCACCTTCCAACAGCAACTTTTTACCATTCCTCAGACGTTCGGGTTCACAAACTGAGTTTTATTTAAAACATGGGAACAGGCGCAGTGGCTCCCAGTACTTTGGGAGGTCGAGGCGGTAGCCTCACTTGAGCCCAGGAGTTCGAGTTAACAGTGAGCCATGGTAGCGCCACTGCACTCTGTCCAGCCTGGGTGACAGAGCGAGACCCTGTCTCAAAATAAGCAAATAAATACATAAATAAAGAAAAAGATAAGACCGAGCGCGGTGGCTGACGCCTGTAATCCCAACACGTTGGGAGGCTGAGGCGGGCGTATCACGAGGTCAGGAAATCCAGACCATCCTGGCCAATATGGTGAAACCCCCGTCTGTATTAAAAATGCAAAAATTAGCCGAGGTTTGTGGCGTGCTCCTGTAGCCCCAGCTACTTGGGAGACTGACGCAGGAGAATCGCTTAAACCCGAGAGGCAGAGGTTGCAGTGAGCCGAGATGAAACCACTGCACTCCAGCCTGGTGACACAGCGAGACCTGGTCTCAAAAAAAAAAAAAAAAAAAAAAAAACCGGGTGCGGTGGCTCACACCTGTAATCCCAGCACTTTGAGAGGCCGAGGCGGGTGGATCACTTGAGGTCAGGAATTTGAGACCAGCCTGACCAACGTGGTGAAACCCCGTCTCTACTAAAATACAAAAATTAGCCGGGCGTGGTAGTGGGTGCCTGTAATCCCAGCTACTCGGGAGGTTGAGGCACGAGAATCACTTGAATGCGGGAGGCAGAGATCGCAGTGAGGCTGAGGCACGAGAATCACTTGAACGCGGGAGGCAGAGGCTGCAGTGAGCTGAGATCGCGCCACTGCACTCCAGCCTCGGTGACAGAGTGCGACTCTGTCTCAAAACAAAACAAAACAAAAAACGTGGTTCCTCACTCTCCGGGTTCCTTTGCATCCTCCCTGCCTGCCCCTACACCTACAATTTCTGAAGGAGAATCAGATCTTCTATCCATCTAGAACTCTTCCCCTGGAAAGAGCTCTAGAGGTTTAAGAGCAGGCAAAAAAACTGTGACTTGGGTTTCAGACAAAAGGGGGCTAGCCAGGCTAGGCACAGGTGGAGGTGCAGGGATCACCTGTGCTCCTCCTTCCACAGTCCCCGAGCTGGCAGCACGTGGGATCATCCAGCAAGTGTTCCCTGTCCATGAGCAGCGTATTCTGAACCGCCTCATGAAGTCATGGGTGCAGGCCGTGTGTGAAAACCAGCCTCTAGGTGCTGCCTGGGCTGGGGGGTGGGAGGGGAGTCCCAGCAGACAGGCAGGGGGTGACTGAGACCCACTTGTCCCCTGGCAGATGACATCTGTGATTACTTTGGTGTGAAAATTGCCATGTACTTCGCCTGGCTGGGCTTCTACACGTCGGCTATGGTATACCCAGCCGTCTTCGGGTCTGTCCTGTATACATTCACAGAGACTGATCAGGTACTGGGCAGGGACCCGGCAAGGTCTGGGGGATTCAGAGGCACCCTCCTTTCTGGACTGGCACGAACAAAGACTCAACTCTTCTCTGCCACTCACAGACAAGCCGGGATGTTTCCTGCGTGGTCTTTGCCCTCTTCAATGTGATCTGGTCGACGCTGTTCCTAGAGGAATGGAAGCGGAGAGGGGCTGAGCTGGCATACAAGTGGGGGACGCTGGACTCACCTGGGGAAGCTGTGGAGGAGCCACGCCCCCAGTTCAGGGTCAGTTGGGGGCTGAGTCCAGGGTCTTGGAGACAGGGCAAAGGCAAGTGGTGGGGAGCACTGGAGGAGCAAAGGCAGAGAGCTGTGAATAGCGTTTTTCCATCAAAGAGCGTATGTCAAACCCAGGTGGGCTCTGTGTGCTCCCCAGGGGGAGGGGTGGAAGTTGGATTTGAGGGACTGGGAACAGTGCCCTAGGTGGGTGACTGAGAGGGTCACCTCCACTTGATGGAGGGAAATTGAGTTCCAAGGATAGGGAGGGGTGCGTGAGGCAGAGGTGGCCCCTCTAATCTCAGGCTGGGCCCGGCCCTTGCCCACCATCAGGGCGTGCGACGCATCAGCCCCATCACGAGGGCCGAGGAGTTCTACTACCCACCATGGAAGCGGCTGCTCTTCCAGCTGCTCGTGAGCCTCCCTCTGTGCCTGGCGTGCCTCCTCTGTGTCTTCTTGCTCATGCTTGGCTGCTTCCAGCTGCAGGTGACCCTCCCCCCTCCCCCCACCCGCCCTGTCCTTGGTGCCCAGCTCCACCTTGGGCTGACCCTGCAGCCAGGATGAACCCAGAATCCCCTTCTCCCGCAGGAGCTGGTGCTGAGCGTGAAGGGGTTGCCCCGTCTCGCCCGATTCCTGCCTAAGGTCATGCTGGCCCTAATTGTCAGCGTGAGTGCCGAGGGCTACAAGAAGCTAGCCATCTGGCTCAATGACATGGGTACGCCCTGCCAGGGGGTCTCGGGGAGGAAGGTCTCCATTGCCCCTTGGGATCCTTGCCACCCTTGCGGGTACCGCGGCTGCCCGCTCACTCTTCCCCTCGGCCCCTAGAAAATTACCGGCTGGAGAGCGCCTATGAGAAGCACCTCATCATCAAAGTTGTCCTGGTGAGTCACCATCATCGGGCAGGGGGACAGCAGGGAAGCTGTGGGGTCTGTATGGGGGCATAAGGAAGGCTCCAAGGAGTGGGGTGGGGTGCAGGGTGACCACCGCCTACCTCCTTCCTGCAGTTCCAGTTTGTCAACTCATACCTGAGCCTCTTCTACATCGGTTTCTACCTCAAGGACATGGAACGCTTGAAAGAGGTGAGACCCCCCGCCCCAGCGGCAGTCCCCCCTGCCCCCATGGCGGCCAGCGAGGGGCCAGACCTGGCACAAGGGGTCCAAGGGCTCTCCAGCCCCTCCCTCCCCTCCTCCATCCTTCTCTCCTGTCTGTGCGTCCGTTGTCCGTCGTCTGTGCGTCCTCTCTCTGCCTGTCGTCCCCCCATCTGTCCGTCCATCTGTCCGTCGGTCCCTTCACAGCTCCTGCTCGTCCTGTCCCTGTCCCAGAGCCTCGAGCGGCAGCTGCGGGCGGTGCTGGTCCCGCTCGCGGCCCTGCGGTTCCGCCTGCTCCTCCTCTCCCTCCGGGGCCTCCTGCTCGCGGCCCGGGCCAAAGTACGGGCAGGTGGCGAGCCCATGGGGCCTCGCCGGGGTGGGCAGCGTGGCTGTGCTGGGGGTCTGGCGCGCCGAGCTGAGGGCGCATGCGCGGAGGGAATCTGGGGTGGCAGGGAGGCCAGCAAGCAGGTGCAGGCGGCTGGGGACGCACACGGCCGAGTGCACCGGCCGAGCCTGCGGTGGGGTGGAGACGCGCTGGGCCTGCCCGGGAGATCGGTAAGGAGTGCTGCGCCTGCCAAGCTGTAGTTTGTGGCTGAGCGCTGGGGGCCTCGCGTCCAGGCGCGTCCAAAGCAACGGAGTTAGGAACCGGATTCGGCCTGTGTCTGGGCACGGTGCTCCGGCGGGGCGCCCAGGGAGGGTGAGTCCCCCGATCCCGGCGCCCCGCTTGCCCCCCACGCGCCTCTCTCCTTCCCCTTCCTGCCCCCAGATGCTGGCCACGCTGCTGATCACCCGCCAGTTCCTCCAGAACGTGCGCGAGGTCCTGCAGCCGCACCTGTACCGGCGCCTGGGCCACGGCGAGCTCGGCCTGCGGGCCGTTTGGGAACTGGCCCGAGCCCTGCTTGGCCTCCTGAGCCTCCGGCGCCCTACGCCCCGCCGCCTAGAACCCCAGGCAGATGAGGGCGGGGGCGGTGGCAGCGGGGGCGGGGGCCGCAGGTGCCTCAGCGGGGGCTGTGGGGCGCCGGAGGAGGAGGAGGAGGCGGCGCCGGTGGAGCGGCGGCGGGCGGGGGAAGGTGGGGAGGAGGGGGACGGGCCTCCAGGGGGCAAGGAGGAGGACGAGGAGGACGACGACGAGGAGGAGGACGAGGAGGAAGAGGAGGACGAGGAGGAGGGCGAGGAAGGGGGCCTCCTGGACTGCGGGCTCCGGCTGAAGAAGGTCAGCTTCGCTGAGCGCGGCGCGGGGCGGCGTCGGCCCGGCCCAAGCCCGGAGGCCCTCCTGGAGGAGGGGAGCCCCACCATGGTGGAGAAGGGGCTAGAGCCGGGAGTGTTCACTCTGGCTGAGGAGGACGACGAGGCGGAGGGGGCTCCCGGCAGCCCTGAACGGGAGCCCCCGGCCATCCTGCTCCGCCGGGCCGGGGGCGAGGGCCGAGACCAGGGGCCCGACGGGGGCCCGGACCCGGAGCCCGGCTCCAACAGCGATTCGACCCGTAGGCAGAGACGGCAGAACCGGTCGTCTTGGATTGACCCGCCCGAGGAAGAACACTCGCCCCAGCTCACCCAGGCGGAGCTGGAGAGCTGTATGAAGAAGTACGAGGTGAGGAGGGGGCGGGGCCTCGCAGGGGGCAGGACACACCGTCCGAGGGTGAAGGCAGTTGGGGTGGGAGGGAGTGGTGATAACAGGGCCCTTGATGCTGAGATGCTACAGGAGAGGAAGGCCTAGCCAGATAAAGGAAGCCTCTGGACTGGCCGAGGATGGGGACAGGCCCTGGGTCCATGTGGGATAATCTGAGGGAGGCGGGCTCAATGGGAGGAAGATTGTCCGAGGGAAGAGGCTTCCAGGTCTGAGGCCCGCCCACTTGCAGGACACGTTCCAGGACTACCAGGAGATGTTCGTGCAGTTCGGCTACGTAGTGCTCTTCTCATCCGCCTTCCCCCTGGCGGCGCTGTGCGCCCTGGTCAACAACCTCATTGAGATCCGCAGCGACGCCTTCAAGCTGTGCACCGGGCTGCAGCGGCCCTTCGGCCAGCGCGTGGAGAGCATCGGCCAGTGGCAGGTGGGGGGAAGCCAAGAGCTCCGAGCTGAGGCCCAGATGGAGCCCAGGTGCAGCTGGGAGGAGCCTGGGGTCTGGGGAGGCCGACTGGACCCCGCCTGAGCCCTCCTGCCACCCTGCAGAAGGTGATGGAGGCCATGGGTGTCCTAGCGATTGTGGTCAACTGCTACTTGATCGGCCAATGCGGGCAGCTGCAGCGCCTCTTCCCCTGGCTGAGCCCGGAGGCAGCCATCGTGTCCGTGGTGGTGCTCGAGGTGGGGCTGGCGACAGGGGCAGGGGCAGCTGGGAGGTGGGAGGGCGGCCCCAGCGTCTACAGCCTGCAGCCTTCTCTCTGCCATCCCTGCAGCACTTCGCTCTGCTCCTCAAGTACCTCATCCACGTGGCCATCCCTGATATCCCGGGCTGGGTGGCCGAGGAAATGGCCAAGCTGGAGTACCAGCGCCGCGAGGCCTTTAAGGTAGGGGGGCCAGGCTGGGCTGGGTTTTCTCACTTGTGGGGCTGCTGGTGGATCTCTGATCTTGGTGACCAATTCCTTAGCGTGAGGGCAAATGCAGAGACTGCACAGAGCTGGGTGTAATAATTGGTGCTCCCTGGCTGGGTGCAGTGGCTCACTCCTATAATCCCAGCGCTTTGGGAGACCAAGGTGGGAGGATTGCTTGAGCGCAGGAGTTTGAGGCGCAGGGAGCCATGATCATGCCACTGCACTCCAGCCTGGGTGATAGAGCAAGACCCTGTCTCTAAAAAGAGTAATAATAAGCAATAATAACTAGTGCTCACAACGGCTTCAGTCGCTTCTGGAATCCTGGTGGCATCCAGCACCAGGCTGGCCCTTCAGAACCTTCAGTCATCCACCAGCTTGCCCCATTGCATCCTGTTAGGGGGCCAGGGACACAGCGGAGGCTTCCTAGAAGCCCAGCTTCTTCGGCATTCCTCAGAAAGCTATAGCACAGGCCAAGGAGCTCCCCAGTGCCTGCACAGGGAACATTCCTCGAGGATGACAATGTCCTGTGTCTGCACTGTCCCTGCAGCCTTTAGCTACAGGTGATGAATGAGCACGCTGAAGTGGGACTACTGTGACCAAGAAACTGAATTTTTATTTTATTGAACATGAATGCCTTTAAGTTTACATTGACAGAGCCTCATGTGGCTACCTGGGTATAATCTGTTGCAGCCACGGTCCTTTTTTTTTTTTTTTTTTTTTGAGACAGAATCTCTTTCACTCTGTCATCCAGGCTGGAGTATAGTGGCACAATCTCGGCTCACCACAACCTCCACCTCCCAGGTTTAAGCAATTCTCGTGCAATTCTCGTGCCTCCCAAATAGCTGGGATTACAGACACGTGCCACCATGCCCGGCTAATTTTTGTATTTTTAATAGAGATGGGGTTTCACCATGTTGGTCAGGCTGGTCTCCAATTCCTGACCTCACGCAATCTGCCCACCTCCCAAAGTGCTGGGATTATAGGCTTGAGCCACTGCGCCCAGCCTGCAGCCACAGTTCTGTCTCTTGCCTGTTCTCTGGGAAGCAGGGGATCAGTTGAGGCTCAAGATTGGTTTCCACTTTACCAATTCCTAAGACGCTGTCTGGCACACAGCCGGGGACAGAGTTGATGGCCAGTGAATGTTTGTTTTCTTTTCAATTCCCAGAAAGTACCGGCATGGGTCCAGGGAGTCATTCAGTTGCACCCAATAAGCCTCGGAATCTCCAGTTCCCCAGAGAATCTCAGTGTGGGCCCAGAGATGCAGTTGGCACCCAACAAGCTTTGTTTTTTTTCTTTTTTTGAGACAGAGTCTCGCTTTGTCCCCAGGCTGGAGTGCAATGGCACGATCTCAGTTCACTGCAACCTCTGTCTCCTGGGTTCAAGCGATTCCCCTGCCTCAGCATTCCGAGTAGCTGGGATTACAGGCATGCACAACCACGCTGTTAATTTTTATATTTTTGGTAGAGACGGGGTTTTGCCATGTTGACCAGGCTGGTCTCGAACTCCTGGCCTCAAGTGATCTGCCCACCTCAGCCTCCCAAAGTGCTGGGATTACAGGTGTGAGCCACTGCGCCTGGCCCCAATAAGCATTTAAGCTTCCCTGACTTCCACAGAGAGGCCCATCATGTACCTGGGAATGCAACTGGCACCCAGTAAGTGATCGGATCTCTCCCACTTCTGCAGGAAGCCCCCATTGTGGGTGCAGGGATACAGTTGGAACCTAATAAGCATTTAAGTCTCCCCCACTTTTGCAGAGAGCCCTGGCATGCACCAGCCTTGGCTGGCACCTGCTAACACCCTTTCTTCTTAGTCGTGTAACGGCTTGGCTCTACCTGCAGAGACACGAGCGCCAGGCCCAGCATCGCTACCAGCAGCAGCAGCGCAGGCGACGGGAGGAGGAGGAGCGACAGCGCCACGCAGAGCACCATGCCCGGCGGGAGCATGATTCTGGTGGCCGGGAGGAGGCGAGGGCTGAGGGTTCTGGGCTGGACCCCGCCACCTCCTCCGAGAAGGCCTCTGCCAAGGCCAAGGGCAGCACTGCGGGTGGCCATGGGCCTGAGCGGCCCAAGCGCCCAGGGTCCCTGCTGGCACCCAACAACGTCATGAAGTTGAAGCAGATCATCCCACTGCAGGGCAAATTCCTCTCATCGGGGGCCACATCCTCACTGGCCACTGCAGGGGCCGGAGCCACCGCCCGGCCTCCCCCTGCCCAGTCACCCACGGGCAGCGACACCCGCCTGCCCGCCTTTCTCAGCTTCAAGTTCCTCAAGTCACCCGAGACCCGGCGGGACTCTGAGCGCAGCCACTCGCCGCCCAAAGCCTTCCACGCCGGCAAGCTCTTCCCCTTTGGTGGCACCCGGGCTGAGCCTGGGTCCAACGGGGCGGGCGGGCAGGCCCGACCAGATGGGACCCCCAGCAGTGGCGGCAGCCGGGTTCAGAGGAGTGGGCCGGTGGACGAGGCCATGGCTGAGGAGCTGGAAGCCTCCCGGCCCGAAGAGGAAGGCTCAGGTCACAAGCTTTAACTCGGGGGTGGGGACGCCGGGCCGGCTTTGGGGGTAGGGTAGGGTGGCCAGGCCTGGGGAGAGGGGCTGAAGGGGACAGAGGAGGCCTGGTCTTGGGTCCTGGCAGGGACCTGGGTCAGTGGTACATGCAGCCTCTCAGTTAAAGCCTGCTTCGTATCTCCAGGGCCTTTGTTAGCCTAGAGCCCCGTGCCTGACCCTCCCCAGGGAGGGATGCCAAAGCCGACTGCACCCAGGGACCCCCCACCATGCTCCCCTGCCAGGAGAGATGAGGGAGGCCCACTTCCCATCCAGCCCACCCTTCTGCTCCAGCTCACTCTGGGGGGGACTTGACCCCCCAGGCCTCTATGCAAATCCACACCCTGCAGCCCAGCTGTTCAGGAAGGACTTCCTCGGAGGTGGGGCTGGGGCTGGCTGCCCACCCAGGGAGCCCCCACATGTGCTGAGCAGAGGTGCAGGCCTCACCCCTACCCTCCCACCCCCGCCACCTCCCCTGCCCCAATCCCAGCCTGGGCTCTAGCAACCCCCTCCCCAGGGAGCCCAACAAGTGGCAGCTGCAGCACAAGGGCCATAGGTCAGAAGCCAGAGGGACTTCCTCAAACTTTCCTCCCCCTGTGACCTGGAGGGGCCGTGCCCAGAGGCAGGGTATGCATCGGAAGCCGCCCAGGGGGCCGCCCCACCTCAGCCTCTGATCAGAAGCAATAAGGCCTTTATGTGCCTGGAAGGCCGGGAGGGAGTGTGGGCAGGGTTGCCAGCCCGGCGGGGTCCGGCGGGGGCGGCATCCCCCCGGAACGGCCCCTCTCGCCTCCGCAGGGACAGCGCTGGCCCCCGTGGGCGCCCCTGCCCTCCGCACCCGCCGCAGCCGGAGCCCCGCACCGCCGCCGCCAATGCCGCTGCCCCGGCCCCCGACACCGCCCGCCGGCTGCTGGCAGTGGGACGGGCCCTGGGGCTGCGGGGGTGAGGGTGCCGTCCCCCGCCAGGCCCTGGCTGCTGCCGAGTGCCCGCCCTGTGCCATGGCCGGGCCCCCACCCGCCCCCCAGCCTCTGCCAGGGGATGCCAGCTTTTACAGCCTCCCGCCACCACCGCTGCCGCCCACCTCGGAGCCCCTCGAGACCCCGGCGCCCTCCCCTAGCCCCAGCCCCAGCCCCCAGGCCGTGTGCTGGCCCAGCGGCTGGCATTAGCTCTGCCCGCCCTGCCTTCTCGTCTCATATGCAATATCAGTCATTCACAGGGGCGGCCGGTCCCCAAAATGCAAGACGCCTTCAGCCCCCAACGGACCCCAGTATTGGCCGGCGCCCCCCATCTGCCGTTTTCCTTTCCAAATGAAAGGAAACCCATAAAACCAACAGAAAACACACACACACACACACAGAATAGGCGATTATTTATTTGTTTTTAATTTATTTTGTCATATTTTTGTAAAACGGCAGAAATGCAATAAAAACTATATTTCAACAGTGCCCGAGGTCAGAGCAGTGGAAAAGGGAGTGGGGGTGGGGGAGTCTGGGTGGCTGGGGCCTGGATTGGGCACCCCCTCCCCCCATCCTGGTACAGGCTGGCTTGACCCTTGGGGGCCTCCTCCCAAAAACTGGGTCTCGGCCACAGATGGAAAACTCCAGGCTGTGCCGCCTCTGAGACGGCCCAGATTTGGAGGCCAACTTCAGCACTGGCTTCAGCCACTAGACAAAGGAAGGAATCTCTTAAGTGCTGAAAAGAGGCGGCAATGTGTGCACAGGCCCCAGTCCTGAGTAAGACTCCTTCTCAATGAGGACAGAGTGGTGGTTTGCAAGACGCGCCCCCTTCTGGCACACCCACCTCCTGGAACATTGTCTGGGGAGCCAGAGACAGTGGAAAGAGCTTGTGGCATGAACATCGGAAGGCACCTGGCACCTGAGCCTCCTGCAGTCCCCGAGTGGCGATGCTGAGCGAATGGCACATTTGGGTATCCCGAGGACACGGGGTGGCATTGGGATGCAGCAGGGATGTCCCACTGTGGGACGGACATCAGACCCAAGTCACTGGGACTCTGTCGTATGACTCAGGAACAGGAATGTGGCCTCTCAGACCCTCAGGTTTGTCAGGAAGAAGAGGACAAATGTGTACACATCCAAAGGCTTAAGGCTCAGAGACCAACGTGGCCATGCAGGAGGGCTGGGTCAGAGGGCCTGGCTGGAGCCAGTGTGAGCAAGGGGCCCTTCAGGAGGCTGTGGAGAAGTCAGAGTTCACTGGAGGCAGGAGAACAGCCTGTGCAAAGGCGGAGAAAGTGGAAGGCAGTCTGGGGGAACAGTGCGGTACGGGGCACTCCAAAGGCAGGAGGGGAAAGCAGAGGCTGGCTCAGGGGCCCGGCGTCCTCCCACAGGCAGTGGGAGTCACACGGTGTGTGTGCCAGGTGGGGCATGTCCTGACAGACCCAGGGGTTCTAGGGGGAGGCCACAGGGAGGCGAGCTGGGACACAGCCCTGAGACCCCATCGGAGGGAACTGAGGCAGGGGAGGGGAAGGAGGTGCCTGCCCAGCAGCCCTGCAGACCCATGGGCAGACAGCACAGGCAAGAGAGCCCCCAGCCTCTCAAAGCAGAAACTGGGGGCCGGAGAGGTCTAGACAGGCCTAGGGGAAGGGCGGGGGTGCCCCCTGCTCCCACTCTGGCCCCTGGCCTTGGAAGCTGAAGTCCCACCATCTCATTCACAGACGGACACCGCAGGCCTGCCCAGGTCACACCAACCCTGGGGACTGGGACTCCCCAGCTGGGCTGGGAGCCTCCAGGGCATTCAGCCCAACCCGGCACTACTGACCCAGCACTACTGACCGTGCTCAACTGTGTATTTCCTGACCACCTGCCCTGTGACCACACGGACCCTACAGCACCATCCCTGTGGTGCAGACACTTCCGAGAGCTGGGAGACACAGCTGGGTGGCCATGCTGTGCCTGGGCCGGGTCAGCCACTCCTTGTGTAGGATGGGAGCCCACCCTGACACTGTCCGTCCTTGGGAGAGATGGGCTGCCCAGGCCCGAGGGTCTATCTGGGGCAGGCGGACCCTCCATAGCCCAGAGTCTCTGCTAGCTCTGTGGCCCAACCCCACATCATCCCAACGCCCTCAGACTCAGCTTTCAAAACCAAGACCTCTGCCAGGCACGGTGGCTCACGTCTGTAACCTCAGCACTTTGGGAGGCTGAGGAAGGCAGATGACTTGAGCCCAGGAGTTTGAGACCAGCCTGGGCAACATGGCGAAACCCTGTCTCTATGAAAAATTTTTTAAAAATTAGCCAGGCAATGGGGCACGGTCCCAGCACTTTGGGAGGCCGAGGCAGGCGAAGCACCTGAGGTCAGGAGTTCGAAACTAGCCTGGCCAACATGGTGAAATGCTATCTCTACTAAAAATAGAAAATTTAGCTGGGTGTAGTGGTGCACGTGTGTAATCCCAGCTACTCGGGAGGCTGAGGTATGAGAATCGCTTGCTCCTGGGAGGCGGAGGTTGTAGTGAGCTGAGATCTCGCCACTGCACTCCAGCCTGGGAGACACAGCGAGACTCCACCTTAAAAAAAAAAAAAATTAGCCAGGCATGGTGGTGTGTGCCTGTGGTCCCAGCTACTTGGAAGGCTGAGGTGGGAGGAATGCTTGAGGTTGAGGCTGCAGTGAGCTGTGATTACACCACTGCACTCCAGCCTGGGCAACAGTGCAAGACCCCAACTCAAAAAAACAAACAAAACAAAACAAAAGAAAACTAAGACCCCCCGCCCCCCGCCGCCAGTGGGGGTGATAAGGGAAGAAGCGGTGTTCCCCCAGCCCCAGGCTTAATGGTCAGGGCCACAAACCTTCTGCCAAGAGCCTGAACACCCCCTACATACCCAAGTTCAGCCCCAAACCCAGCCCAGCTGGCAGAGGAGGGGTCCCCATGAGCGGCCATGGCACATGCCAATTGCCAGGTGCCAACTTTCTGTACAGCTCCTCTATGACTCAGCAAGGGTGAGGTCACTACCTGGGACAGCAAGACCGGCCAGATGCCATCTGTGCTGTCACCATGCCTCACGGGAGTGGCAGAGGCCGGAGACCCCAGGCCCCCAGGTGAGGCTGGCCGTCTCTGCGGTGGCTGACAGGTGCACTGCCCTGCTCGGCGGTATCCCAGGCAGGGGGCTGACCCTGCTCCATCCTTGGCACCATGGACTGTCTCTCAGGAATGACCTGTCCTTGGGGTCACCTTGACAGGAGAGGCAGAGGGGATGGTCCCGGCAGGTCTTGGCCTTGAACATGGTGGCCTCAGCAAGCCCACGAGAGAATCCAGCTGGTCCCGGAGCCCCTGGCGTGGGGGGCCCTTCTCACTCCTCTTGGTGACAACAGGGATGACTCCCAGGGGCTCCGTCCTCTGCAGCCAAGGTGTGTGGAGCAAAGACGCGAGGTCGAGTAGGAAAGACCCTTTTATTGGGGTGGACACGGAGCACGCACTAGTCCATGATAAAAATAAAATGACTCAAGAGAAAGATCCCAAGGGCCGACTTCTCCCCGACGTGCGCACACGCTGAGTGAGGTCTGGGCATGGGAGAGTTCCAGGCAGAGCGTGGGACAAGACCGAGTCTCAAGGGCCTGGACCGGTGTCAGGGGGAGAAGGCCACTCGGCTGTCCTGGTGGGTCGGCCACCCCAGGCCTGCCCTTGTTGCCCAGCCACAGTGAAGCCCCCGCTAGAGACCCTCACAGACACGCTCTGGTTCTCTAGAGAACTGGGGGCAGGAGTCGGGGAACTGGCCCGGTGGAAGGCGGGGGTCGGGGGGACAATGTTGTGTTTTTTTAAAAAGCATCTACCAACATCACACTACTGGGTCTGATGTCCCCTTTAACCAACGCTTGATACAGGTTACAGCATAAATAAAAACTCAAGGAAAATAAATACATCGGCTCCTATGAGGTTGGAAGTGGTGTGGACGCAGGGTGTGGATGGGCCGGCAGGGAGGCGGGCGGGCGGGGTGCTTACACATGGCGGGCAGGCGGGTGGGCGATCGAGGAGCAGACCTGGCAGGAGGCGCCTGTGGGGTTGAGAGTCTTAAGTGTCCTCGTGCATGTCTGGGCTGTCGGTTCGCGCCACCTTGCGGGGAGGTGCGGAGCTCTCGCCTTCCAGCTCCACTTGCTCCTGGTCTCTCTTCTTGGCAGCGTTCTGGGGGACAGGGGAAAGAGAGGGGCTGTGAGTCATTTTTTTTGGACAGGCTCTCGCTGGAGTGCAGTGGTATGATCATTGCTCACTGTAGCCTCAACCTTCTGGGTTTAAGCAATCCTCCCAGCTCAGCCTCTGGAGTAGCTAGGACTACAGGCACGCAGCACCACGCTTAGTATTTTTACTTTTGGTAGACATGGGGGTCTCACTAGGTTGCCCAGCCAGAGGCTGTGAGTCTTCACATGGGTGAAGCTCCCAGAGTCCTAATGCCAGCCCAGGCCCCCACAACAGCATCACAGAGGTAAGCCTGGAGTACAGTGGGGGGTCTTGGGGTCCCTGGCTGGGCAGTCCCTCCTACCACCAGGACCTGCCCTGCTAAGCCCTGCCCAGAGCACTTCCTGGACCTACGGCCGGTGATAGACAGGTGTTTCCTGGGCACCTGGAGGAGTCACCCCCAGCACGTGCAATGACACACAGGGCTGGTTTCTCAAGCACTCAGAGGAGCGATCCACCCAGCCTGGGAATAAAGGGCCTTGGGAAGCCACTGGGGATGCTACACATCAACGCAAGAGAGAAGCACATGTCTCCTTCCCCACTGTGGAAACCAAGGCCTGGAAGCAGGAGAAGGGTTGGGGTGGGCCCAGCAGCTTGAATTTTCGGAAGCAGTCACTTTGCCACAGAGTCCCCCCACCTTCCAACTTTGCCCAGGGTAGGTAGCCACCCAGTGTTCAACGTTAAGTAAAAAAAGCAAACTTGCCGGGCGCGGTGGCTCATGCCTGTAATCCCAGCTACTCTGGAGGCTGAGGCAGGAGAACTGCTTGAACCTGGGAGGCGGAGGTCGCAGTGAGCTGAGATTGCAGCACTGCACTCCAGCCTGGACAACAGAGAGACTCCGTCTCCAAAAAGAAAAAAAAAAAAGAAAAAATAAGAGGGCCGGGTGCAGTGGCTCACACCTGTAATCCCAGCACTTTGGGAGGCTGAGGCAGGTAGATCACTTGAAGTCAGGAGTTCAAGACTAAAAATACAAAATCTACTAAATCTACTAAAAATACAAAAATTAGGCCAGGCATGGTGGCTCACGCCTGTAATCCCAGCCTACTTTGGGAAGCCAAGGCAGGCGGATCACCTGAAGTCAGGAGTTCAAGACCAGCCTGACCAACATGGAGAAACCTCGCCTCTATTAAAAATACAAAATTAGTCAGGCATGGTGGTGCATGCTTGTAATCCCAGCTACTCGGGAGGCTGAGGCAGAATCGCTTGAACCCAGGAGGCGGAGATTACAGTGAACCAAGATGGCACCATTGCACACCAGCCTGGGCAACAAGAGCAAAATTCCATCTCAAAAAACAAATAATGATAAAATTAATTAGCCGGGCATGGTGGTGTGTGCCTGTAATCCCAGCTACTCGGGAGTCTGAGGCAGAATTGCTTGAA